TAGAATTTAAATTTAACAATATTAACCAAATATAATAATAAATATGTTTTCAACAGTGAAATAAGTATGAATACTTTTATAAAAATGATATATACTTTTTTGAAAGTTATGTATTTATGTTTCAATTTTTTTTAATAGTGTTTCATGTTTTCCACCTACAATATTAATTTAATAATTTCATTTACACAAAAAATTATTTGATTGTTTTGATATTTTATAAAATATTATTTAGATTTTAAATTTAACAATATTAACTAAATATAATAATAAATATATTTTCACAGTGAAATAAGTATGGACACTTTTATAAAAAGGATAGATAATTTACAATATAATAGGTAAAAATATGACAAAACCAGATTCATTATGACAAAACCGGTAAAATTTACTTGATATGTTAAAAGTATGGACACTTTTATAAAAAGGATAGATACTTACCGATAACCAAAGTTTACCGGTTACCAAATTTTTTAATAGTTTTTCATATTTTCTACCTAAAACATTATTAGTTGTCAACATAATAGGTACCGCTAAACCGAATTTATTAAATACATTTTAATGTATCCGGTAATACTGTATATTAACCGTATATTAACCCGCCTTTCCTGAGACATTCCCGACCTTTACGCGATTTGAGGGGCGTGAACTTTACAATTTTTAATCTCATTTTTAAATAAAAAAATTTTAACTAGTGATGCATGTCACCACGTGATGAGGAAAAAAAAAGATTAATGGGTAAATTAGAGTCTTCCAACATTTTAGTGATCATGAATTTAATTTACCCTAAAACATAAAACTTAAAATTATAAAAGAATACAAGTAAAGAAATATAATTGCTCATTTTCTTACTTTTCAAGCAACACCTCATATTATCCATTCATGGCTATAACCTTTTATTTACGATGGCTGAAATATTATTTGTCTCATCAATAATAATTTTTAATTATTTTTAAATTAAACCTTACACTCTATAAAAAAAAATTAAATATATAATTTAACACATTGAATCGAATATTAATTTAGGCAAATTTCAAGCTTCAAATCCAATCCATATTTTTAATATTTTCTAAAAGAAACCCAAAATTTTCATATTAAATTGATTGATTGAATATCACAAGTACAATATTTGTAAACATCCCTAATAAACACACTAATAATTGCTCTTTAAGTCATATGTTGAGAGCATGGATTATTCATAAGAAGAGAACAAAAGTCAAAGTTCGTAGGAGAAGAAAAAAAGAAAACCATGAAAATAAAGAAGCGAATCAAGAGAACAACAAAGTTTGATTATACATAAGAACACAAATCAAAATTATTAAACAAAGAGAGTGTGGAGTACACTCATTGAAGTGAAAGTTGGAATATTTTCATCTCAATTTTTTTTTTGTTTTTTGAAAATCAATGTTGGGTGTCCTGAGCTGAATAGTTTAAAAGCAAGGCAAACTAACCCAAAACAGAAAGATCAAAGAACACCTATAGTAATATTCATCGTCATCTTCAATTTTTCCAACACAAACAGAGCAAGTTGAAACTTCGTCCCACTAAATTTTTCTTCCAATAAAAAAGCCCGCCTTTAATTGTTCTGTACTTTCTTTTTGAGGGTTTCTTTGAAAAGAAAGTTGAAAAAAGTGGTTGGGGAAGTAAACTCCGGGTTTGGAAGATTTAAAGATATGTCGGGGTGTGAATGCTTTTGTTGGCATAATAAACACACTGATGAATATGATGAGTTCTTTCCTTTACCTCTATCCCAGCCTTTTTCTTTGCCTTCTCCAATTCCAGATTGGCCTTCAGGTATTTATCCTTCGATTTTTTTTTCTAGTTTAGAAATTGCGTTTCTTTATAATTATTTGTTTAACTATGGAGTATGAATGATGATTATGATTTATGAAGATTTTTTACCTGATTATTTAGACAATAATACACAGTTCATGGGGGGAGGGGAGAATTTTATGTTATTATGTATATCGAGTCATTCTGGTTGATTATAGCTATGGTAATTTTGGAGTTTGGACACAATAGATATATTACTATATATAGTAACTCTAAAATGCTGTTAAGGCGTTGGTTTAACAAAATCCTCAATGATTGACCTTTTAAAAACGAGACTCGTTGACAAACTGTCTATCCCATCCTGCTTAGCTCACCTGTTTTTCGTGTAAGATGAAGCAATTCCTTAAAAACATGTCTGATGGGGTTGTTTTTGAACCTTATAACCTCTCATCTCTTTTCTTTTCGATGTGTGATTAATACATTCTACCATGTTCGTATCCGGGTAGCATAGATGATAGTGTCCTTACAAACGTCATGACAATATATATGTCAACTCGATTTTTTGTAATGTACTATCATTTTTTCAGGTCAAGGATTTGCTACTGGAAAAGTAGATCTGGGAGATTTAGAAGTGGTTAAAATCACCAAGTTTGAGAGTGTTTGGACCTGCTATTTGTTGCGTGGTAAAGCTAAAGGTGTCACATTTTATAAACATGTGGGGATTCGTGATGGATTTTTCTGTCTCGGTTATTACTGTCAGCCAAATGACCAGCCCCTTAGAGGGTACGTTCTTGTGGCTCGTGAAAGGGTAGCTTCGACTCCAGGAGTTTGCCGTGACCATGACTCGGATTCGGGCTTGCCAGCACTGAGGAAACCTGTCAACTACACGTTGATTTGGAGTTCAGATTCACTTCGCTACTGTTGTGGTTTATTCTGGCTGCCAAACGCTCCGGTGGGTTACAAAGCAATGGGAATTTTGGTTACCGACACGCCGGAGGAGCCTGATGATGAGGAAGTTAGATGTGTTCGAGATGATCTTACAGAGACCTGTGAAATTAAATATGCCATATTTTCCACTGGTGCAGATCAATTCCAGGTTTGGAACATAAGACCATGCAAAAGAGGAATGTTTTGCAAAGGTGTTTCGGTTGGGACATTCTTCTGCAGTACCTACTTTGTTTCGGAATTGGAGATTGTTTGCTTGAAGAATCTGGATCCCACACTACATGCAATGCTGAATTTAAACCAGATTCATGCTCTTATCAAGCACTACGGTGCAAGAGTTTACTTTCATCCTGATGAAGACTATTTGCCCTCATCGGTGCAATGGTTTTTCAAGAACGGTGCACTTCTATGTGAAAATGGCAAGCTTAAGGGTGAACCGATTGATTTTTGGGGCTCAAACTTACCTTGTGGAGGGACAAATGATGGTGAATTTTGAATTTTGGATAGCTTTGCCAGGAGATGATAGTGCAGGAAATAATGTTAAAAAAGGAAACTTAGAGAGTGCAGAGCTATATGTTCATGTAAAGCCAGCATCTGGTAGAACATTTACAGATATTGTAATGTGGATATTTTGTCCTTTCAATGGACCGGCCAACCTTAAGATCGGGTTAATGAACATACAGATGAACAAACTCGGGCAACATGTAAGCGACTGGGAACACTTCACTCTCAGGATAAGCAACTTCACTGGAGAACTGTGGCAGGTTTACTTCTCACAGCATAGCGGATGTGAGTGGGTGAATGCTTTCGACTTGGAATATAGTGAAGGAAATAAGCCAATTGTTTACTCATCTAGAGATGGACATGCTAGTTTTCCACATCCCGGAACGTACCTTCAAGGGTCGGTTAAACTTGGTATAGGGATTAGGAACGATGCTGCCCGAAGCAAGTATTCTGTGGACTCAAGCACCAAGTACCAGATTATTGCAGCCGAGTATCTTGGAGATGGAGTAGTTACAGAACCATGTTGGTTGGATTACATGAGAGAATGGGGTCCAACTATAGTATATGATTCGCGTTCTGAACTAGATCGGATAATTAATTTGCTCCCGTTTTTTGTTCGACTGTCGGAGGAGAACATCTTTGACGTGTTTCCGACAGAGCTTTATGGCGAGGAGGGGCCAACGGGACCAAAGGAAAAGGATAATTGGGGAGGAGATGAAATATGGTAATCATACTAAGCATGGATATGTTCCCTGTTTTCGAGTGTATAGTCATGCTAAGCATGGATGTGGTATGTTCAAGGACATCCACAAGGCGGCCGAAATAGTCATCGGATTTCTTCTTCCAGAACAAAAGGATTGCATTGCTGCTCATGTGTAATTTGGTTTCTAAACAGCAAAAGTCATACATCTTGCAGAGATACTCCCCTTCTCGATCGGCATGTTGATAAAAGAAGTCGCAAGCTGTATAAATACTCTGCAGTTCCCATTCATTGGGATTGATTCTTAAATATAGTGCTTATGCTTGTAGCTCCTATACTAGTGCTCGTGCTTGTGCTTGTGCTTGTGCTTGTGCTTGAGAGTCTAAAGTTAATATAAGATTAAAAAATGGTATAAACTAGTTGCAACCGAAAATTTTAATTAAAAATATAACTTTTAGGTTGGATCGAGTAATATTTAAAGTTGAAATAAAAAATATTATATTATTTATAACATTTTTTGTTGTAATCTAAAGAATTATAAATTGTATAATTTTTTTCCGGTTGTAAGTCATAAACCACTTGTAATATATTTTTTTTCAATTACAAATAAAATAACATTTTAAATTAAAAGTCACTTTTAAATTAATTTTAAATTAAACTTTCGTATTTCACACTACCAAGATTCCTTTAAATTTATCCTAAAAATTTGGAAAGAAAAAAGTCAAAAGCTCTGCAGTTGTTTGTTACTGTTGTGTTTTGATAATAATACATATTTACATTTGACAAATTTTATGTATAAGACGAAGAAAAATCTTATTTTGAGTTTTAATGGAGTGGTATAAATAAGCCATGCATGATTGATTTACAATATAAGAACAGGAATTTATTTTCAGCTATTGGAGGAAGTGGTGTTAATAGAATAGAATAATATCCACGTAGTTGCTGTTTTCCTCTTTTATTTACCAACAAAAGTTTGCAAATTGAATAAAACGACATCGCAAATTGAATAAAACGAAGAATAGTCTTCTTCTTCTTCTAGTTCACAGTTCCTCGTGTTTATCGACCTTTTGTCAAAAAAAAAAGAAGTTTAATTTTTTCTCGAGAAAATCCGGATATTTTTCTCGAGAAAATTGAGTAATATGAAATTACAAAAACTCTCGATTCTGTTACTGGTCCTTTTGATTATTCAATCAAAGGCGGTGTTGGGGATTCAAGATCAATCTACATCGAAACAAGCTTACGCGACGCTGCTTTACGGAGATGAGTTCCTTTTAGGGGTCCGGGTTTTAGGGAAATCGATAAGGGACACTGGATCAACTAAAGACATGGTCGTTTTGGTCTCCGATGGTGTCTCTGATTATGCTAAGAAGCTTCTAAAGGTAAAATTAGGCAACCCTTTTACTTCTCTGTTTGTTTCCTGAGAAAATTACTAGCTCTATAATCAGTGATCAGTTAGCTTACTGAGAAAGATTAGGCAAGTATATTGCAATTATTGTGGTTTAAGAAAGTGAAGTCTTAAGATTTGAAATATCTTTTAACTATGTTATCTTTCTTTTTCTTTTTGCTTTGGTGGATAATTGAGCAGGCTGATGGGTGGATAGTGGAGATGATAAGTTTATTGGCAAATCCGAATCAAGTTCGGCCAAAGAGATTTTGGGGTGTTTACACCAAATTGAAAATTTTTAATATGACTAACTACGAGAAAGGTAAATCCTTTTCGATTTATTTATAGTTCATCTTTGTCGATTACAGAAAATGTATGGTGTAGGCTTGTAGCTGAAGGATGAAAATAGTGGGCTTAGCTTAAATTTGATGTACCGCCAGTGCAAAACTTTTACACCACGAATGACCATATCACTAACGAGAAAATTTTAAATTATCAAGTCCATGGAACTAAGGATGTATAAGTTTTTTATTGATACTTCTAATTGTATGCCTGTTTAAAAGTTTGCTCGGTAATTAGGTTGCAACTTGGAGAATACTTACCTATATATGCTTACTCGATTGTTCATGTCCTATTTTTTATTTTTTCCCAGGTAAAAGCGAGAACTAAAATATAGGTTTTCTATAATTCTCATGATAAGAATTTTCTTTTTTACATCTTTTATGAGCTGGATAGAATCTAGTTTTCGGATATTATGTATTTTAGTTGTTATCACCTTTTCTCTTCAGCCATTCTTCTTTTCAGAGTACATTATTCTTTCTACCTCGATGTTTCTTCTGGTGATTTGCTTTGTTTCACACTTGGAATTTGCTTGTGTAGTTGTATATCTTGATGCAGATACTATAGTAGTCAAAAGCATTGAAGATATCTTTAAATGTGAGAAATTCTGTGCAAATTTGAAGCATTCCGAGAGGCTGAATTCAGGAGTCCTGGTGGTGGAACCATCTGAAGCTATTTTCAATGACATGATGAGCAAAGTCAATACTTTGCCTTCTTATACTGGAGGAGATCAGGGTTTTCTGAATTCTTATTACTCTGATTTCCCAAATGCCCATGTTTTTGACCCTAATATACCTGAGGAGGTATTGAAATCCCGTCCTGCTCCTAAGATGGAACGACTCTCTACTTTATACAATGCGGATGTTGGTCTTTATGTGCTTGCCAACAAGGTATTACTACATAAATTTACATGAACATTATGCTTTAAACTTTATATCGTGCTGCTGTATCATTGTCAGTTTTGTTTCACGTCCTATATCCTTATGTTTCTATCATAGCAAGAACAAAGTATAGTCTCACACTCTCACCAGTAAAATTGTATTTGAAATCTTTTCATTGTTTTGAATTCTCATTTTCTTCATGACGTTGAGTCGTTGACAGACTTTTGTATGCTTCCTCTTGTTTTGAGAACATGAGGATTTGTTTCAATTCTTTTCTTTGTTTGTCGGGATGTTCTTTTTCTCACTATACCATGATGAAACTTATGCCAAAGCCAAAATAAGAGACAAAATTCTGGATTTGCTTATTATATTGTTATTTTCTGGTTAAGTATCCTTATCATTTTTTTTCTTTTTTGTATTATTTTTGCAGTGGATGGTAGATGAGAGTGAACTTCGTGTAATTCACTATACCCTCGGTCCCCTTAAACCTTGGGATTGGTGGACATCTTGGCTCTTAAAACCGGTTGATGTATGGCAGGTAATATTGAACTCCTTCAGAAATGTACATGAAAAGAAATGATATATTTCCGATTTTTGCTTTAACTAGGACAAATGTCAATATAATCTGTTTGCTGATGCTGCAGAATATTAGGGAACAGCTTGATGAATCCCTTCCTGGAACTGGAGGAGGCAAAAATCCAAATGATGAGCTTATAGTCAAATTCCTTTTCCTCTTACCTTTCTGTGCTTTACTTTTTTGTTTCTATCGTTCTTTCCATCAGGTTAGTGGCATCAATTATTATGCTTTCTTGAAATTCATGCCTAGATGATCGCTTTCCTGTTCCAAAACCGTATTACTTTTTGTTCCAGACTGCGGGCTCGCTTTGCAGAACTCCATTATGCAATCAAATCAGATACCTTTACCACATACTTGGGTCCAGTGGAACCGTTGCTTACACTAGTGTTTCTCCATCTACTACAGTTAACCCAAACAGTCAAGTTAGTTTCCTCTATTTACTTTTATGGTGAACTCTCTGTTTTTTCTACTGAAATAGATGTAAACTTGCTGTTGGCGTGGTTTTATCCAGTTTTCTAACGGTGCACAGACGAAGGTGCCTGCGTACTTGGGTGGAGTTTCAGTTTTTGTATGTTTTATGACTGCTTTGGTGTCCCTTGGAATTTCAATTTCAATTGTGCCTCGACAAGTGATGCCATGGACTGGTTTGCTCTTGATGTATGAGTGGACATTCACAATTTTCTTTCTTTTGTTCGGAGCTTTTCTTCATTTGATTTATCAGTGGGGGAAAACAGCAACTCAGTCGGGATCAGTTGCTTCTCGTACTGATTCTTTCGATTCAGATTCTAGAAAAGGTTTATTTACTTGGCAGAGATGCATAAATCATGTCTGATCTTGATTATTGATCTAGCATTTGTTGACAATTTTCATACATTCATTACAGGTTATCAACGGCAGCCATCATCGTCCTGTGATATGGTTACTTGGTTTTACGGGTTGGGGATGGCTTTCTTGGCTATCGCAGCCCCATCCTTACCATTTATTTTCGGGATCACCGCTCTGTTCCCAAGGTAATTTCTACCGAGATAATCTTGTTTTCTTCCGCGTGTTTAAAAGAAAACAATTTTCAAGTCCAGTTGGACATTGGAGGAAACCAAAAATGGATGACAATAAGTTGTCAAAGATTGCTGGCTTTATTTCTTATTTGCTTGCAATGTATAGACGTTTGAAAATCCTCATTATTAGTCTTGAAGCAGTCTTACTAATTTTCATGGTCCGTGTATATTTTCGCACCAGGTTGGGTCTGATGGTTGTCGGAGGGCTTGTATTAGCGTCGTTCATGACATATGCTTCGGAACATCTAGCAATTAGGTCATTTTTGAAAGGTCTTGAAGACCGAAACACCACTCGTTCGAGGAGTGCATGTTTCTCGTGTTGAAAGAAAGCTTGAAAATGGTTGTAGTACTTACCAGCAAGCAGTGCAGGCTTCCTTCAAATTTGTGTTTTGTTTGACATTTAATCACATAAGTTCTTTTATTTTTAATTATTTGCCTTCAAATGTAATTTTTGTTCCGTTAGATTTTTATTTTTGTTAATTTGTTGCATCGATATAATACTCAGTTTCGAATATAATAACTCTTTACTTTTCACATATTAATATTTTTCAATAATACAAAAAATTAAAATGACAAGTAGGCAATCCACCCAAGAAAGAGAGGCAAGTCCACGAGCAAATATTTTATATCATTAATTTTTGCCACTATCCATTTGAAACTATATAGGATTAAGTGGGGGTAATCTTTTTAAAAAGAGAAAATCGTCTCAGTGACTAAAAATGCCTTATAATATACGATTTTAACCAACTTTTTTTGGATTTGTCAAAATGACCAACAAAATTGCAATGCGATCTCTAATTCGCAACGCGATTTTCAGTATCGCAAATTCGCGTTGCATTTCGCGTTGCAATAGTTGAAAATCGTGTTGCGATAGTCTACAGTGTCGTTGCGATAGTCTACAGTGTCGTTGCGATTTTCCATTTCGCGTTGCAATAGTCTACAGTGTCGTTGCGATTTTCCATTTCGCGTTGCGATAGTTGAAAATTGCGTTGCGATAGTGTACAGTGTCATTGCGATTTTCCATTTCGCGTTGCGATAGTTGAAAATTGCGTTGCGATAGTGTACAGTGTCATTGCGATTTTCCATCTCGCATTGCGATAGTGTACAGTGTCGTTGCGATTTTCCATTTCGCGTTGCGATAGTCTACAGTGTCGTTGCGATTTTCCAAATTCGTCGCGATAGTCTATAGTAAATTAAAAAAGGATTTTGTTTCTTAAGAATTTTCTCTAAAAAGATAGTGTCCGCGCGGACGTGTCGAATACACGTACTACCACGACCACGACCACGACCCGACCCGAGACGGCGGCGGCGGCGGCGCGCGAGAGTCCCCCTTGTTCTCTTTCACTCAACAAGGAAATGGGAAATTCAAGCCTTAAATACACTTCCCAATAGTGTTTCCAATACTATGTGGGAGTGAGCATTACTCAACACTTCAAAGAAAATATAGCAATTTTTGTAACATGTTTCCCACTTAATCCACATATCTAAAACATTTTATCATTTTATCAAGAGAATTAAAAGAGTTGTAGATATCTACATTTCAATTCAAACTTATACATATAGTTTTAATATGATAAAATGTTTTAATATTTTTAGATATGGATTAAGTAGGAAACATGCTATAAAAATTACTATATTTTCTTTGAAGTGTTGAGTAATGCTCAATCCCACATAGTATTGGAAACACTATATGGAAGTGTATTTAAGGCTTGGATATCCCATTTCCTTGTTGAGTGAAAGAGAACAAGGGGGACTCTCGCGCGCCGCCGTCGCCGCCGTCTCGTCTCGTGGTCGTGGTCGTGGTAATACGTGTCTTCGACACGTCCTTTTATTATAAGGCATTTTTGGTCACTGAGGCGATTTTCTCTATTAAAAAAGCAATAAAATTTAAAGATGATAATTTATGTTTTGTATTTTTATTTTTAATATAAATGTTTATAAAAAAGTTAAATATATCAAAATCTTAAATGCTAATAAGATATGTGTATTACAATGTCATATTATCACATATAAATTACAATGGGTGATTTAAAAAAAACATTAAGAATAATTTTAAAAGCTGAAGTTATTGATGACAAAAATAAGGATAGTTAAATGGTATGTACGTAGGGATGGCAAGTGGGTACAATTTTGTGGATTCCGTACCGCACCCGCTCCAATTGGGGCGGGGATGGGTATAATTTTAGTGGGTAGTGGGCGGGTGTGGATTTAGAAAGTGGTACTCGTCGCGGGTAGTGGGCGGGTAATGGGTTTGAGACCTTACCCACCCCGCATCCGCACCGCATCCACCCGATCCTCATCCGCCCGCACCGCATCCACCCACCCCACATCCGCCCGCCCAACTAAATATCCATTAAATTTTGGACCATTATGAATTTAGGTGTAATTTTAAGATACTAATTTATAAATCCTAATATTGTATAAGATATAACTTGTAATTTAACCAAATATTAGGGATAAGTTTATGCATAAATTTTTTTCTTTCAAACCTCTTGTCTTCACTCTCCAGCTTATTCAGGTATCTTTTTTCCCTTTTTACTTGAAATTTAATTTTTGTAAGAGTCAATTCCGTAGTCATTTCGTTTTAAGCTCCTTTGCATTTCGTTTTAAGAGTTTAATTTTTATTTGCTCGTACTGATTTTTAATTATTTTTTAGATTCATCTTAATATTTGTTTTAAGCTTAATTTCTTAATGTTCTACAAATCAGTATCTTGTGACTGAGCACCCACGTTTTTTGCTAACAGAGTCAGATCGTTGCTTCTCAAATCTCTATTTTTAACGCCACTGAATAGAATTAAGTGTTTCACTTGTGCTTCTCAAACCTCCATTTTTAACGCCATTGAAACTGACTTTTTCAAATTCAAATTTCAACCGAATATATTGCAATATTGGTGTTTTATTATGGTGTTTTATGAGAATGATGATTGTAATACTGGAGTATCAGATGTCACAAGTATTGCTTGAAATTTTAGAATGTTGTGCCAAAGAACAAAAACATTATGTGTTTGTCATTTATGTTTCTAGACTTTAATTATGTCTTTTATTATGATGTTTTATGTACTTTAAGATCTATATTAACACTTAACTCAGATAATCATTGGTTTATTTTATTATGTTTATTAATAGATGTGTTTGTTTTATGTTTGTTGCTTATGTATAACTTAAGTTTGTTGTCAGGCGGGTCTAGGCGGGTACGTCTCCAGTGGGTAGTGGGTGTGGGGATGGATTTGAGAATGTACCCGCGTGGGCAGGTGTGGATTTGAAAATTTTTACCCATCATGGGTGGTGGGCGGGTGGTAGATTGAAAAATATTAGGTGGGTATGGGGATGGGGGAGTGGGTATCCGCACCCGACCCGCCCGTTTGCCATCCCTATATGTACGGCCTTTTATTTTTTTAATTTAAGAATAAGGGTAAATTACACTACTAGTCACTAAACTTTAAGGTGTGTATCAATTTAACATTGAACTTCAAAATGATTCAATTTAGCATTGGACTTTATTTTTGCATCTCAATTAGGACACTTGACCATTAAATTTGAAATACTATGATGATGTGATAGTTTCATTGTTTATCACAATCATGGTGTTTTTAATTTATTTTCAACCACAGTAAAAAAAATATTTTATGATAATTTTTTTACCGTCAACCTAGATATCAATGAACTAGACTCATCATCTTCTACAATTTTCTTCGATTTAGATTTTCTTATGAATTTTTTAAAACTAGTGAAATAAAAAAAAACATCATTTTTTAGGTTTGTGAGCTTTCTTAACTTTTGGGGTTTGAGGTATTTATTCAAAAATTTGAATGTTCAAAAGTATTATTTAAAAAAGATGAATAACATACCTCGAAACTAGTCCCATCAAACGATTTTTTAGGGAGATTTGAGCATTAGAACGTTATCATTAGATGCATTTTCATCAATTTTAAGTGAATTTTGTAAATAACCAATCTAAGGCGAAGAAAGATGAGTTAAATGCTTGATATTGATCTTATCACGAACGAAAACTAATGATGGGTGACAATGAAAGGTGTTGGCAAATTTTTATATGAGAATAGGAAAGAAATGACCACGTAATCAAGTTGCTAACGATTTAACAACTCGTGTCCTAATTAAAAAGTATACTAAAATCCAATACTAAAATTGAAGTGTTTTAAAGTTCGGTACTAAACTTGACACATCCTAAATTTTGTGAGTAATAGTGTAATTTAGCATAAAAATAAAAAATATAAATATTCTTATTATTATATTTTAAAGCTTTAGTTATTACAGTGAGAGAGTTGGTGGCCAATTAACTGTGTTATCGAATATAATAATAATTTAAGTAAATATAGATGCATTATATTATATTTGTTTATGTTTATTATATTATTTGTATATTTATTAATCATATACCCGTTCATTTTATATTATACTTAAAATTACGAAATTAAAAAAAAACCGTTATAGGGATCTGAATCTTCTATAATATTAATGGAATGTAGTTGAACTAATCCACCATTAATTGTTAAAAATAAAAAATAAAAATTAATTTTTTTTTGTATTAATTAACTTTTGCATCCAAGTATTGGATGAGTCATTAACGAATATAAAATTGTTAATTGATGGATGATTAATCATTTTCTTAACTTAAATTTCCTCCTTTTTTTCAGTTACGTGTCATTTTCAATAATCAAGACACGTGGCAACTAAACAACTTTAATTATGAAATAAAATGGAGTTTTTGATGAATCATCATCCTTATCTTAAAGTTAAAGCTCACTACAACTACTCTAATAATTATATTTGTCTGACCTAAATATAACACAAATTTTTGTCGACTTAAAACAACACAGGTTTTTTTGTTTTAAGTTATTTTATTGATATAAAAATTTTTTATATATAAAATTGATTAAAAAAATTAAAATATTATCTTACAGTATAAATTAAAGTTATTTTTAGTATATACTGTTAAAATTATTAAAAGTTCGGAGATAATATATATTTAATTGTGTTTAAATTTATATATATATATATATATATATATATATATATATATTTTAAATAGTTTTATATGGTTATAATGTAATATTTGTTTAAATTTTCTTTTAATGTATTGATAACACATATACGGTATACCTTGCGGGTACAATTATATATATAATTCATATCATAATCATATTTAACTAAATATTATATAAAAAATAAAAATATACATCAAGCATACATTTGTAAAACTGTTTAAACAAAAAATTTGATAGGATGTAAATATAAAATTAACTACTTTTACGTCAGTATGAAATCAGTTTTTCAAAATTCAGATTCGAAATTTATAAAAGACATTATTAAAAAGTAGTGGTGAATGTGTATGGATCATAAATCGTACGTTAAGAATATTAAAATAACGATTGTTCAAATATGACAATACACAATCGTACCAATGTT